ACGGTGGAACCCTCAGTATTCACTGTCTACTAGTAGTTCGGTCGTACCTCCCTTCCTCACTGCTCGGCTGAGCTCGAAGGGTGCTGTGGCCGATCGCATCTCGGTTCCTCTCGTCTGGCCTCTTTGACGCGGCGTACCAATCCGGCCCAGACGATCTCAATTGTGAATCCCGTATACAATGTCATTTGCAAGCCAGTCCTGTCTGACCCACATTCGTACCCATCAAGGCGGACATTTAATTATACCCTGACGATGACTGACAACATTCCGTTATATACCACCACCTACAGGCCAGTCCTGCTCGCTTTTTTCTGTTATTATTTTTAAAGAGGGGTTTTTTCTCCTGTAAAATTAATCCAATCATTTTTAACTTTTTCTTAGGAGTTTTTTTTCACCCCTCAATCATCATGTTTCTCAATGGACTTCTAATTTAGAAACTAGGAATTGCATTTTGTAAAGATTCGGCCTACCTCGTCTAAAACTCGCATGCAAATTTATTTTAACTTGCTTTGATGGGACCCCGACGGGTCTTTAATAAAAATTATCTATCTATCTATCTATCTATCTATCTATCTAACCCCCAGTCATCTTGCAATTGTCTTGTCAAGGTGAATTAGGGCGTAGGGAGCGTAGTCAAGGCCTCAAAAGTCTACCCCAGTACAAGCTAGTTCGCACGACGTCAACCGATATACTGCCCACCTCATGGGATGCGCGATGGATGTCGTCGTTCGGGAACCGCTGAACCATAGGGTGTGATAAGTAAAGGCAACCTAGAGCAAACCCAGGTAGGATGCATGATAGTGAGCACGGGATGCGTGGGCGAGCCCGACCGGTGTAGGATGCGTGTGATTTGAGAAGGTTAAAAAGGGTAAATTTGATACGCGTAAGTGATACGGACTACTAGTTAACGTATTTTTTCTGTACATTGAATCAAACTGTGCGCTGCACATAGGTTAGTTAAAATCTCACGCTTTCTTCCCTCAACAAACTGAACTGAACTAAACCATTCCAGGTGGTCTTACTACATTCCAGAAAAGGCATTTGTTTTGACTAAACTAAAGATACTGTGTTTGTTGGTTTACAGAATTGTTGTTCGCTGCCTGTACACAAGTGATAAGCATGTAACTTCATAGCGCACAAGTCCGACTATTACTACTTTCGAATAGATGACAATAAGGTGGTCACTGTCTCAGTTTTCTGCTCAGATAAGAGAAACCGTATTCCCAAATATTGTATGTGCATAGTCAGTAGCTGTAGAGTGATGGGTGTCGACAAACGAGGACAGCAGTTCAAAGCACATTCAATGGCCAGACAACTCTTATAAAAAGCGAAACCTTTACCCGCGCAAGAAAATTTACAAGAAAACGCAACATCTTATTCCCGCGTATAACGACCGATTGGTTAAGACTGGGCAGTTAATAAGTGACTTTTTCGATTTCGCGACTAAGGCGACAGTGGACTGTGCTCGAGCGACCGACGATTTTAACA